TTTTCAGCGCTTCAAAACGCCACGATATTCTGTTCAATTAATAAATATTATTTCATGTAAATCCTAGGAATTTCACGCACTACAGTTAATCGACACTCATAAAACGGAGTAAGTGACAAGTTTAGTTAATATTAGGATCCCAAAAATAAAGAGGAATGAATATTAGGATAATCGAATTTGTAGCGAATTCGTAGCGACATATGTTTCGTCTAGCGCAAGCGTACCTTTAATCTTACGACTGAGAGCACAGTAAACTCGTTGCAGGAGTGGCGCATACGCACGCTTGTCTGACTTTAACTGGTCGTTTCTACTTGCCCCTTTCGGAACTCCTGTCGGCGCACGTGGCCCGCCTCGTGGAAATTAACGTAAATTCGTAGAGCCACACGAATTGCTTGCTCAGCGAGTCGACACCTGCGATGAATTATGGTCAAGCACGCTCAAATAACTTGGTGCTCGTAGAGAGTCGCGACCGGAAGAAGCTCCGGGACGTTCTTGAAATTAACGGTTAACATCCCGGTAATTCGGTTCGTTCACTTAATATAAAAATAGATTTATAGACTTTTTTTATATCAAAAATTCGGTCTTGCAAATATTATTATTTATATTGGTTTATATAATTGCAAATAAAATTTCTACAAGAAAAATATATATAATTCTTTTTTCTATTTTAATAATTACAAAAAAAGCAGAGATTTTTCAAATAAAAATTAGATTAACAATGTAATTTCTTGCATAATATCGATATATACTTCCTTTGTTCCTTAATTACTCGTATTATTATATGTATAATATAAAGTATTTTATTTTTCGTTGTTACGTTTAAACTTGGATTACTGTCTTCACTGTAGACGAATAAATCTCCTACCCGAATTATATTTTATCTACGCTAAATTTAATTCCGCTTTTTCACGTGTACAAACGTTGTTCAAACGACACTCATAATGTCAGACAATTAATCATCTTTACGTAGAATACTTTATGCGCTCTCCTTTTTTTCGCTTGACGTTTCAATTAAATCTTATTACTTCTCTCTCTTATCACGTGTCAAGTGATGCAATGCGTGTAACGTAATAGCGCGGAATACGCTTCGCTAAAATTGTAACGGCGGTTAAAGTTAATGACAAACCATCAACAATTCGAACAATAGAAGTGAAAACGCGCGTGGAAAGTAGCAGTCAAATAATGTCGCGAAATAGATGACAATCTCACCCTTCATCCCTTCTTGCTACGAATGTTTGTCAGTTCTGCCTTTGTAATCACTGTTTGCAGAAAGTTGTCACTACCTTTCCCTCAGGTGGGAATGTCTACGACAAGTTCCGGATAAGAGGCGTCGCGTGGAATAAGTTTTGGAACAAGAAGGTTACAAGCCTCGAGCTTTAAAGCCTCAAGAAAGCAAAAGAGGTTTCGAGAAAGAGAAGAGTAGGATCTATGTATATTGAGGATGTAACACATGTGAGAGAAGAAAGAGAGAGAGAGAGAGAGAGAGAGAGAGAGAGAAAGGCGTTTATTATTATCCTAGGGCAAGTCTAAGGACATAAAAAAAAGTGACAGAACAAGGATATACAAAATAACTGAAGTGATACAACAAAAGTATTACAAAATAAAATACAAAATAAAACACAAAATAAAATATGATATAAAAATAAAATACACCGAGTAGTGTTATAAAGTAACTGATATGACGAACCGTAACAGAAATAAAAAGAAAGGTAATTTAAATACAAAAGTAATATAATTATAAAAAATAAGATAAAACATAATATGAAGATAAACTGTATTAGCGGTGTTAGGAAGAAAGAGAGAGAGAGAGAGAGAGAGAGAGAGGAAGGGAAGGAGAAAGAAAAGTCATATAAGATAAATGAAGATGAGATCGAAAAGAAAAGAAAAGCGTAAATCGATGGGAACAGAGAAGGAGGATCGTTATTCTACGTCGAGGGTAAATCTCCGTGAGTTAATGACTTGCGAAGTTTTAATTGATGCGCTGTAATGAAACTATGTACCTAATGCTCTGCGCTGCGCGAAATAATCCGAGTAATCTTATTTCCGATATTTCACACTTGAGGTTTTCAGGGCACAGGAAAATTTTTGAACGCGAACGAATGGAAATTAAAGGGAGAGACAGTTGGGAAGAGAAGATAAATGAAGATAGAAACGTGATACAATAAAGTGGTTGAGCAAAATTGAATAGTACAAACAGGGAAAAAGTCTATTCTTTCTGCAGGAAGCACCGAGCAAGATGAATGTGTAGCTCACAATCCATTCTTTTCCAGAAAATTGTAACATATCGTTACCTGCGAGTAGTTGATTGTTTAATTAATTAAGCCACGTAATCCTCTAGCGCGTAATTCTATTGTAACATTATGCTATTATCGCACGTGCAACCATTAATCCCAAGAGTGTAATACAATGTGTTTAACACCAGGAACGCAACGCGATCTCCGAAAACATAGAGGATAAACGCAAAATTAAGCAACGTTGAACTGTTCTCGCATTTTCATAATAAGTAAGCTCACGTTTCGAGATTAATTATTTTAAATCATTTAATTAAAACTTCTTTTACAAATTTATATCTCAGAATAATAATAAAATGTTCCGATGATAATAAATTCAAAAGCAAAAGCATATGGAATTTGTTCTTAACAAAAATTTGGAGTACAATCGTCATTAATCAAATTTCCCATTTTCAATATATCTATATGACTAAGCATGAAACAAAGATCCTGTTACAAAGTTTTGTTTGAAATTAACCGAAGAATCTCTCTTTATCTTTTGAAAAGTCCATAAAACTAACTCAAAAACTATAAATCCTTTTAGACAAATATTTGCCAATAAAAATCGGCTTTGAATCTCGCAAGAGATAACATTACAAATCCATTTTTCTTCTGTTCTAGGGCACTCGGTATACGTGCGTGGTCGACATGCGAAAGTGCGTGACCAGACGTGCTTCATCATCGTCCAAGAACTATCGCCATTCGCTCTGAGGATCGGTCTCTCGAAGGTGCCTCCGTGTCCGTGCATGAAGTTCCAGTAACTTTTTTGATGGTGCGAGACACGCGGAAGGAAGAGACGTCGAGAAAGATATGGGGCATGAGAGAGAGCGGAAGAGGAAGGGAGGATAAGGTGGTGGCTGCGGAGAACGAAAGGAACTGAGAGCGGGGTGGGATACGCGATATTTACGAATCCAGATAAAGAGCCCCGGCAGACACGTAGGAGAGGAGAAATCGGGCGTCGTATATCGCTCTTCAAGCTATCTTATGGCGAGACCCGACAGCAAAATTTACTTAACACCCTCTACATCCCTCGTTTCGCGACAACAGAACAAGGTCACTCGATTGTCGCATGCACCGAGCCAATGGACGTTATTCATACAGCTGCAGCTTCTTGAGTAAGAATTTCTTACACACGTATATATATATATATATATATATATGTATATAGGAGAGAACGAGATTTGCTGCAGTATCTGTCTAAAAATTTATAGATACATATAGATCTGAAAATAATTTTATTAGATCATCAAAATTTTTAGATAGGACACTCAAACTGATTGCTAAAATGTCAAAACTTTTTAATGCCCTAGCAATTAATTTGAGTGTCCCACCTAAAAATTTTAATAATCTAACAAAATTATTTTCTTTCAAAATTATTTATAGTTCTTTCCATGTACAGATATATTCGTTTGTATTATATATGTATAAATATATATGAAATGATCAAAAGACAAATATTAATACCGTTCTATGTTTTATAAAAAAATGTATTTGTTTGAATATGAATCGCAACAATGTTCTAAAAGTGCATTCATCCTGAAAACATCCTGTAATTAATTCGTTCAAATATAAATGGATTGCGTATATTTTCAAATGGTTTTCACCAAATATATATCGATATTCATTTATTTTTAAACATTAGATGTAAAAATAGACGAAACTGGGAAATTTAAAATATCAAAAATAACTTCCGTACAATTCTCGCATTTATTACATTTTATATTTGTTATAGATATTTCATTTTTTAAATCACTGTAAATTTTTCTAGCTTTGCTTTAAATTCCCTTAAGCTGAAATATCTATATCGAACGGATCGAAATATATATTTGTCATTTTCACAAAAACAAGAATAATAATGAATTATTTCTATTATATTTAAAGCTCTTTTTTAAGTAAACCTCAGTTACGACCAGAGAATGAACATTTCACAAACTGAAGATTTTCATTGTTATCCACTTTCGTACGAACGTACAGATCAAATTTATCTCGTAACAAAAGTATCTTATTCATTCTATACCTGTCCTCTGAAAACGCTATTTCGCGAGAAAGACTGCGTTGCTAGATGTTTTAAAGGGTCAGCAGAAGTGACGGGTCAAATCATCTGTATTTCGTTCGCGATACATATTTGTACTTAATCATATTTTGTTTTCTCGAAGAAATATTATGCCATAAGACATTTTTTTACTTTTCCTTTTATGAACCTACAAAAATTCTTAGAGCCAGATGTTGTGCAATTTGCACAAATAAATAATTATAATAAATGAACTGTCTGCTCCTTATTTGTGGTGCAGTTATGTGTCTTCATATTTTATCTTCTAGAAGTAATAAGATCTTTTTTTTATAAGATTACGAAAGCACGTACGCAGAATTGGATTTTGTAATTTGATTCTTAAAATATTTTAATAATTAAAATTATTTCAGATATAGATCGAGTGAGATATCAAAACAAATTTTTATTTTACTTTTGTTTATTTTACTTTTCAAAAAGTCGCTCGTACATCACAAGCTTTTTGATTACAAATATTGTAATTATGTGGAATTTTCTCAATATTTTTGCAGTAATTTTAACATGAAGAAATCCATTTTGGACAGAAGTCCCAATATGTATAGTTTCATCTGCCTTAAGATTCTTCTTGACAAAAATGACATATGTTATAATGAAACGCGTAACTCGCAAGATTCGAATGTATTTTAATTCTGAAAGAAACGAAGACGATTTCGACAATTCGATTAAGGAAACACAATCTCTGTAAATGATTCCAACGGTGACTCGATACAGTCGGGATACATAAGGATGCAATCACCGCCAGACCTACCCAATCGTTCGGCTTCCTGATACAATTTGTTGGCGCTCCGGTGATTGGAATTAATCGCTACCGGCAAGTCCTCCGTGGGCCTGCGAAGGAGATTCAGATTAAATCGTTTCGAGCTTTTACTTCCTGTCAAGCTTAAGACTATTCAACCACACCGGGTGTTATCCAATATCTTCTGAAGTATCTTATAATTTAAACGCTCATTGTTTTGACAACTCAGAATTATTGTATTAATTTTCCTTTCATTTAGAATTCACAATATTTATATAATACATATGTCGATATATTTTTTAATTAATGCAAGATAAAATCGAAATTGTAAATTATCGCGTTAATTTTAGAGACATAGTTTACATCGTTTACGCAATGTATGTAACAAATAATATTATAGTAATAAATTATATTATTCATATAAATGATATTAATAATGTAAATAATATAGTTATCGGTATTACTATACATTAAAATTATAATTTCCGCCGCTTTGTAACATTTAATAAATCTTTGATCACATTTGCGTAAAATGCCTTAATTTATCTCGCTTCCCATACATTATAACAATTATTGAACCGATCATGAATCTATATGGATATCGTGGATATTTATCGAAAGTCTCAGAAATTTACACCATCGGCAATTAATGGCTCGTCGGTATTAATTTGTGAAATATACTTGACAACGGAAGCTTACTCGTGAAATCTCTCGGGCACGAAGTGCATTAGTGTTTTGTTAGATTATTTTAAAAGAGATTTCCAAGGGCCGGAGAGACCAGGAAAGAAATATTATAAGGCAATGTCTGAAAACTTGGACGAAACACTTCCGGAACTTAATGTACGCGCCAGACTTAGTCGTGCAATTACCGCGCCGGTGTTAGCTCAGGCGCAATTTCCTTCGAACATACGCGGGCGTGGGCGCCGTTTGGAATAGCAAATTCGTGGCTTCTGGTTACAGGACGGCTTGTAGCCGGTCGACGGGCGAGCGAATATTTTACATGATGTAACAGCCATCTGCTACTCGACCGACGCTCAATTAGAATTCTGCCAAACGTGAGGTCGGATTTTATGGTCGTCCAGGCAATTGTGTGTACGCGTAACCACGCAATCACGTGTCAAAATTGTAAGCTCTGCCTACGTATATATTCATGTTTTGCGAATCTTTCGCTATCACAATCTCTGCAATCCTGTTCAAACAGCAAAATCCAAAACATGACATTTCGGCAATGTTTTTATACCGCAAAAACAAATTTCATTCGCGAATTCCATAAATTAACAGAAAGAGATTTATTTGTATGGAAAGAATGTTTTGCTAAATTTAGGTATAAGATATGGATCGGAAAATAATTTTATTGGGCTATCGAAAGAATATGTAGGAAATTAAAGCGTGATAAACACAATGCTGGATAAAATTTTGACACTACAGCAATTAGTTTGAGACTCGTAACTATTTTGAGAGTCCAACAAAACTTTGAGATCTAGCTAAATTTTTTAATATCTCAACAAAACCATTTTTTCTGTGTGTATGTTAAATCTAATCTGCACCGCGTGCTGTTTAACATTTCTGAAAATTATTTTTAATAATAATCTAATATGTATCTTCTTTATTGAAAAAAAAATGTATTATTGTATTATTTAATTTTATATATAATGAATAATTTACAAGGAGATTGTAAAAAAGAAAAAGAGACGGACAAAAATAAAACTCGGTAAAACTTTGTCCGAAAGTTCCGATAACTTATAAAGAGACAAACTTCAGTTTTATTACTAGACGAATTCGCTACAACAGGATGAGAATTTTTGTCCCGCTAACCCACATTTTACGAGCTATATATTTGCGTACGAATATTCTCGGTGGAGCCTCTACATTATTTCTAACAAATCCGTCAGCTGTTAGAAACTTCCAAAGGAATTCATTACTCACGACTCTCCAGCGATAAATCTCGTTTTCGGAAGTGCGCGAACGTACATAGGTTCAGTTCGTGTTCAAAGCGTGAGTGCCGAAACGTTGGAATTGACTTACGTTAAAATTAGGTGGATCACTTCCCCGAGGACGTCCTGCTGAGTCCTGCGGAGCGGCGTCTCCGCGAGCTCGCAGATGGTTCTCAAAAGGCACTGCCTGCCATCCCGCCAACCGTGTCTGAAAAGTCAGAAGATTGAATCTTATTTTGTAGCACGGTTGTTTCGTCACGTTTCCTTCTCTTTTATGTCACTCTTATTCTAATTCAACTGAGATAATTTTATCAAAGTGATAGATGCTAGGAACAAAAATTTTGTTAGCAATAAAAGACTAAAAACATCGTTTTTTTTTTACAAAATGTTGTTGACTATATGAATTTGTCTGAAATGCCGGTGTAAAGTCAACTTATCTGTTATTGCTATGTTTTCAGCCATAAAAATAAGAAGAAATAATGTTAGATAAAATAAAAAATGTAATAGTAATTCTATCCTTTGAGATAAATAACATTTTGTTAATTTTAATTTCTATGTGTCAAAAAATGTGTGTAAATAAATCCATTTCTTGTAGTTAGTTTCAAAGTGAACAACGTATATTAATGTATGCACTTATAGTAAATAATAAACTAAATTTGAGTCAAATTTAATTCATTTTCTTAACCTAAATTGTTTGATTTAATTGTTTTAATTAAATTAATGACATAATTATAAATTAATAACGGCAGTGGAGGCCAATAAAAATAATTAAAAATAAATTCACGTTATATAATTTGACATTATGAATTTAATAATGTAAATTACGTACTTGATTTTGTAAAAAATATAATGGATAAATAAACACGTAATGAAACAGTCATAACAAACACTTTGTAATTATTTAACAAATTTTTTTAATTAAAAATTTCTTTGTAAAGCTACAATTATCAACGCAATGTCAAATGTGCGATATATAAATGTTTATATTTAACTTTTGACAAAACGTGCATCGCAATTAGAAAAAAATAAATAATTTACGCTTTATGACGTCTTTTGTCATGTCAGAGCAAAAAAATGACATTGATTTGTCAAAATTATTTTCTATATCCCTGCAAAATAATTCGAGATCTTAATGCCTTTAAGTCAATCAAACAATTTCATTATTATTACACGCAATTACTATTATTTTCTTGGGACAAATTTTTTGCTTATAATTATATCCCTGCAGTATACGTTATCCTCCATCCCAATGGAGTAATTGCCTTATGTCCTAATTAATTTATGTTTAAGTCGCTTTACCCATATCGCCCTGCAACTCCCACTTACGTAGAGGAAAGACGCGAGTGAATAGATTGAAAGGAGATGCCCTTTATCGCCGAAATAGTTTCAGAGTTGACAAAATTTTGCACGATCTGTCGATTGCCATACACTATTACACAGTTGGAAAATTTGTGTTAAATAATTTAATACATTTTACGTGTCCCAAAAATCCACCCAAATTTTTGTGTTAATTTAATATAAAATGAATATATTAAGAAAATAATATAAATATTATATTTAAAAAATCAACATAAAATAGATACTGACACAATTTGTAAGCAAATTTAAAAGCATATTTCTTCAATAAAATTAATATTTATAATAATATCAGATTAATATGTTTCAGTAAAATTAACATTTATAATATAGTTACTTAGAACAATTTATTCATTTATCTTAGAATTTGTGCTGCAATTACATTATTTTTATATTCAGTGTTTATTTATTCTTAAATTATGTTATTACACGAAAAAATGTTGAATATCAATTTAACACAAAATATTCAAATAACACAGTCATATTATGTTAAATTCATTTGGATATGTTAAAAATTCAATATAAATATTTTAACGTTTTAAGGGCTGATTTTAATACAAATACAAAATATGTTTTATTACATGTTTTTAATTTAATAATAAAAAATAAATGATGAATGTCTTATGTTTACCAAAGATGTGTGTGTGTGTGTGTGTGTGTGTGTTAATAAAAATAAAAAAATGTCAAATCTTCCTATTAATATTTATAACAATTATATATATATATATAAAATCTGCATATAAAATCACGATATCAGAAAAGTGAATAAATTTTATTATTGACATCTACCATTCGTCTATCATTCGTCAATGGATATCATGAATTGTGCAAACGCATAGTATAAAATAATTTTGACATGTAGCGAGATTTACAAAATTTAAAATATTAACATGAAGAGTCATTTTTGACATTCTCGATATCGATGACAAAACATTCCTAAAATTAGAGGAAAACAATGTGTGTGTGTAGCTTGGTTGAAATGTCATTTCAACAAGCGCTTATCGGTACTGACTGAGTGCTAGCAGGAGTTAAAAGTTAATTATTTAGAAATGTACTTACTCACTTTCTCGTGCATCTGTCGCATTTAATAATCCATCATGCAATTTTGCGCGGTAATTTTGCACGGCATTTGTTCTTCTAATTCCAAATTCAAATCTTTTCTTTTTCCATTGTGCAACCTCGGCGCGGCGTGTAAAATTGCGCGCTTGTTCCGGAATCATGTGTATGAGAGTGAACAAAAGAATAGCGGAAAGAGAATAATGAAAGGGCGACAACTCGCTCGTTCAGCCAATCTCGATGGCGCTGTAAGTGCCGTACAAATTGAAACCATTGATATATCCGTCGGGAGTTTTATCGACCGTCTCTCGTTTTCATTCTCGGCAAATTTAATTAATGCATACACAAGCGACCGGGTAAACGTTTCGACATTTTCTTCTTGAACTTCTCACTGAAGCTGCGAAAGAAAGTACATTTCGCGGCGAAGATCTTTAAGAGAAAACGTACGGGAGTGATTAGCACAACTTACTCGTCCAAGAGATTCTCAATGGTGATGTAAGTTTCCTGCAAATTGAGATCTCTGATGTGTCTCGCAGGAATTATCGTCGGTTCGAACTGCGACAAGTTCCAGGGTAGATCGTAGTTGAGTTGAAATCCCGAGGAGAAGGCAATGCCGCCCCTTTTCGTCATCACTATTGGCATCGAGATACCCAGAGTAAACTGTTGAGCAAATGTTCCGTGATTACATATCGAGAAAGTCAAAGGCCTTTTAATCTACGAGTCAAGTGACGTAAATAATCTAAAAATAATTTTATTTGTTTTCTTTTTAATATTCTATTGAGCGATTTCTTTCCAAGCTAGAGATATTACTCGAATTAAAATTTAAAATAATTAAATTCTATAAAAATCTTTTTTTTTTTTTTAAACAAAATTATTGTGAAAAATTGTTTGATATAAATGTTCTTCTTAGAAGAGAGATAATCATTCATCTCTGGTCGAGTCGGACTAGATTTGCTAATTAGCGTGCTGAGAATTTGCAAATAAATATTTAATGCGACAACGTAGCATTTTGTTGAGCGAACCCTGAGTACAAATTAAAAGCTCTGCGCGGCCAAATATCATTTTAATAGCTTATATTCGATCGAAATGTTATTTCTTTTAGCGGCATATAAATTCAAAATTTTAATCATCCATCACAATCTGTAAAAGTATAAAGAATTTATATGATAAATTTATATATAAAGTTTTCAATTACGAATAAATACATTATATATTAAACACAATGTACTTTCTAATTTATTACAATTTATTACTTTATTAAAGTTTTATTTGTCCTAAAAATAATTATACAACATTTATTAAAAGTATTTTAAAAGTGCCCGAGGCATTAATAAAAAACAAAGAGTTCTTAAATATACAAAATCGTCTCTCGACGAGAAATTTTGTATTCTTATTTAGCAACTTTGTTTTGCTGCAACTAGACGATAAAAATAAAATGAAATGTTACGAGTAAATTTTCTTTTCAAGATAAGATAACACGTATTACAAAAATTTACGGTAAATTTTGAAGATACCTGAAACACGGTATTCTCGGGATACAGCAGTATCGCTCGGCAACGCCAAAAATTCGTCCAAAAGCCAATGATCGAGAATATCCAAAAAAGCAGCCGCGACATAGCGAAGTGCAGTGTCGTCGAAAAGCATGGTTCATCGCGGTATCGGATTCCCATTCCCCATTCATTTACTCAAGTAATTCGCGCCGATCATCGAATCTATGGTCAACGAACTCCGTGAGCGAACATTCTCTTGTTCCGGAATGTCGCGGTATTCGATGAGTTCATAGGAATACGATAATGAGTCTCGCAGCCAGTCGAAATGCGAACGCGCATGCCGCTATTTGCGTCCGGCAAAACGTATCCGATCCGAAATTACGAGCAGTCGAAAACTTCGACCGTTTCACGGAAACGCGTTTCGGGACTGTTCTTCTATTATATGGAATCTCGTTAACGTTGCACACTTTGAAAATATTAAAGTGAGAAACTATATTACAGGGGTATTACCTTTTAACAAAATGTGTGTTTGGAGGAAAATTACAAGATAGCATACTAAAAGAAAAGGTTGGCTGCTGCAACAATTTAGATAGTAAAATATACTATAGCATCTTTAATTGGCTGCAGTAGCCAATTTTTAGCCTATATATGCATTAACCTATCCGCTAATGTTAATATATGATTTTGATGGCTAACACAATCAAAAATTGGCTGCTGCAGCTATTATAATTAAAATGATATACCATATTTTACCATCTAAATTGTTATATTTTTTTCTTTCATTGCAGGCACTTTATTTAAATTTTTGCAAAAGCGATATTCACGTAAGAATTGTCGAAAATTATTTCTTTATGTATTAACAAAAAGTTTTGATATTTGTGACTATAATTAATCACTATACAAAATGCAATATTTAAAATGGTTACATTTAAAACATCTTTGCAAAACAAACATTTACTGCAGATAAAGGATATTTCAATTTTAATACTCATTTCCACCAATGTAGATTACTTTTAATCTCGGTTTAACTTACTCTTCGTCTTTTTCTAATCTTTAGAACTAGAAAAAGACGAAGAGTAAGTTGAATCGAGATTAAAGTTAATCTACATTGGTGGAAACGGGCATAAATGTTTTAAATCCACATAGTGATTTGTTTATTAAAAAAATTAAAAACTAAAACACTTTTAATGTTTAAAAAAATGGAGACAAGAATAAAATGTTTTAATATCTTAAAATTAAACATTTTCTTTATGAGCGATGTCACTATAATTATGGTTATTATTGCTATAATGGTTATTAATAGCTAAACAATAATTTATTACAATTATCTATTGTTCTATCAACACTATACATTATTATAATAATTATTATAATAATAATTAATATAAATTATAATTATTATCATAAAAATAATTACTATAATTTAACTATAATTTATAGTTATTTTTTAGGACAATCATATTTAATATTTTAATAAGATTGTTTTAATAAAATATAGTTAAAAAAAATTGCTATATATTGTAACTTGCACATCTTTTATGATATAGTATATAATGCTTCTTATATTTTACTTATTCTAAATATTAGATTCATGTTTTTAGTATCATGTTATACTGTGATCCAGCAGCGCTGTGAGTAGCACTAAATGTTTACTTCTTTAATTTTTGTGGTAACACTTGAATGGACGTAACGCAATTTTGTCATAACGTTTTGAATAATGTTTTGAAGAAGAATTAAATAATTATGAGTTTGATTAGAAAAGAAAATGTCTTTGAATGAATTGCGATATAAAAATTTCATATAAGAAAAATTAAAGCCATTTAGATCGGAATAAAAAGATCCTTCAATAGAAATACAAATTTAAGATATACATATATCTATAGATTTCAATGTACAAAAGTTAAAGATAGTATCACTTGGATTATATTCTTTACTTAATTTGTTATATTTGGTATGGAATTTAACTTGACGCCGGTGGTTGATATCAAATCTTTTACGAATAATAGATATTATTAGAGTTTTAATATTGTTTATTTAATGTGGCAGGATAAAATTGTCGAAATCGCACTACCTTATTTAAAAATTTAATTATTGTATTTATACTATTTATATACTTTTTTATAAATTATTTAAAAACTACATGATATTGCAACACTACTCGGTTATACTCGTGACATGAAGCGCAAGTATTATTATTTACATAAATAAAAAAATCATGACATCATTACTGTATTTCAACATATTTTATTATATAGCAGAATTACAGAAAATATAAGTTATATATATAAGTAAAATAACCTAAATCTCTATCATTTGTCGTGATCAGAATATTATTAAATTTAAATTAATCATAGGATTAAAGTTTACTTTATATTTTTTATAGATTAAATAAATAAAAGTTTTAAAAATACTCTAGAGAAAAATGCTCTAGTTTCCTAAATCGCATTACAACGATCTAATCTTTTAAATTGCACGATATCTAATATTTTCCTATTTCTTACATTTTTATTTCATTTATTATTATATAAAAATATATATTGTAAACCTACGAAGTGTTTATTTTGTTTCACACAGAAACTCCTTAAATTACTTCTTGAAATTATTGTGCGTTTCAGAAATTATGAAAAATATATTTTTAATAGAATAATAAAATACAATTTTTTTCTTTTCTTAAGTGATTTTTAAACGATAATTAACAAACTCTTCGAAATCAAAATATAAGTTCAGTAATGAAGGGACTGTAGGAGTCAGCGCCGAAAACAGTGCCCAGTTTAAAATTATATAAATTTGTTCATTAGTCAGTGCTTACATAAACGAACGTTTCAGCTCAAGTTCAAGTCCTCAGCGTAACAGTAAAAAAACTGGAATAATCGCGTATAACAAGTTATGCTGAATTATGTCATCTCCATCTGTTGTTGTCGTTTGTTCAACTTGCTACAATGATACAAGAACGAAGACAGCAATTCTTGTTGCACTCAAGCAAATTCCTTGGCCGAATGGAAAAAATTGTAAAATTTTTCAACTTCATTACAATATATAGCAAAATTGTTCACAAATGAAATTACAAAAAGCCACACATTGAAATTATAACTAATTAAGGAACACAACTAACTAAATCTCTCCAATTTAAATGAGCTTTTAGTATGTTGTTCTATGGATAAAAATAGGAGACATGTATTTTTTATACGTGCTGAGTCGCACGTTAAAGAAGTGAAATTCTTCCTTGAAAAACATGGAATTTCCTTCATATTGAATAACGTCGAAACTGTAAGAGATAGAAAAAAATTTGCAAAATGAAAATTGAATGGCATTAAGATTAATTTAGAACTATAATAAAAAAAATTTTTTTTATAAATAAATAATTAAAAAATATATTTTTTTATTATAGTTCTAAAATACTCTTGAAGCCATTCAATTTTCATTCTGAAAAATTTTTTCTTACAATTTCGACGATATTCAATCTAGAAGAAAAAAATTAATTTTTTTCAAGAGAGAACTTGACCCTTTTAACGTGTGATTCAGCACATATAAAAAAAAACGCGTCTATTTTTGTCCATAGAACAATACTAAAAGCTCATACTAAAAGCTCATTTAAATTGGAGAGATTCACTTGGTTGTGTTTCTTTGTGAATTCGTTAAGGGAAAATACCATTGTAACTAGTTTAAAAAATCTTCTTTTTTTGTTATGTTTGATGTCTTAAAAATATATCGCTAAAGTACTGTATTATGTTAAAATTCGTAATAGAACTATAGTAAATAGTATGGAGTAGTATGTGGTCAGATGCATAATCGGTTGTAAAACACGTTAAACACGTTTTTTTCGACACTACGTTTTCGTAATTGAGCGCTCACACATCTCGACCAATTTTTATCTGAATAACTTGAATTTTAGACAAAATGTTTACAACAAAATTGTCTTCGGTTAAACGTACAAATTTTTCAATTGGATTATTAGTTTTTGAAAAAAAATAAAAAAAAGGATTTTTTTCGCCGTTCTTTTTTTAAAACAGAGCCATTTTGTTTAAAATTATTTTATCAAAAAATCAATACGCTTAATTGAAACTACACTCATATACTTTAAAATTAAAAAAAATTTATTTTAGAGCTTCAAACGCAGCACGAGCACCCCCATGTTTTTCCAGACGAGGTGCACATCAATAAGCACTGAGGCTAGAAATATTAATATTATTTAATGAATTTTTTTTGTAATAACTTCGTAAATGTATGTGCTTTAAATATATAAAAACAATAATTCATACAAGCTATTAATTTTCACAAAAAAAAATTCACAAAAATAGCCTTTTTTTCGGCCGTCACAATGGTATTCCCCCTTAAGACAATTACAACAATTCTCGCTATTATTATAATCATTTTTCATTTCTACAATGAAAAATGCATAAGAAAACGTAGAATCAAAAACACACAATTCCCGAGCGGTGACGAATTCTACCCACTTTTAATAGCGTCACAATGTTTGAGCAATGATGTTTACGTCAGACTGCCATTTCGATTTTTCGTCTTTATAAATTTGGCGGCGTGATAGTGTCCCACAGCGTTGATTTGTATTAAATACTATATTTGTAAACATATTCTAAAAATACTTCGATCTATAAAAAGATCAAAATTTATTACATAAATTTATCGTATAATATCCGTTTATTTTGATCAATTTATTCCACAAGGCCGTTTCTATTTTAAAAAATTGTATCTCACAAATTTTATTACAATAATGATTAACTAATTACACACTCTCAGAAAAGATTTCTAATATCAAGAAAAAAAATATTTCTGACGTACTTAATCTTAGCTCCTCTCAACTGTATAAAATTTTATTAAAATTGAATCAATAATTTTTATTCTACTGTCTCAAATAAGATTGACAGCTTGTCTTGAGACGATAACATATATAAATTTAGGTTTATATATTCTCACATTTAGAATAAGTCTATCTAGTGTTATATATGTAATGTTACAGCATCATGATACCGAAGCTCTCGTGATGTAGCACGTTAAGTGAGAGACACGCGAGACCCTGAGTTCTCGAATCCTGGCCGAGCCCAGTTTTTTGTAGAAAATTAATGAAATAACATAAAAAATATTTTATTCTAGATTTTATTAGGTGTTGGAATTAATTCGTAGCGTTTTTTAATGAAA